AAAGAAAGAAAAAGAAAAAAGAAAGAAAAAGAAAAGAAAGAAAGAAAGAAAGAAAGAAAGAAAGAAAGAAAGGAAAAGAAAGAAAGAAGAAAGAAAGAAAACTTGAACCGGCTGATTCCCAGACAAACACATTCTAATCTCAGCTACCCAAGAACCGTATGGATTGTGACATAAACAATAGCTGTCCCTGAGGACACTGTGAATGTCTACCTCAGAGTCAATAAAGAACCCTGCTAAATGCAACAGAATAGCTGAGGTGAGGCTTTTTAAAAGGTGACATATAAAGACAGGTCTGAAGAAGAGAGAGAACCATGCAGGTATCTTCAAGATGTGTCTTTCAAACAGCAGCCTCTGAGTCAGGAGCATATGTCTACCATTTGGGGAACAAAGAGGGTACAAGTGTATCTAGATTGAAAGACAACATCAAGATCTGAGAATTGAGTGGCACCTAGATTGCATAGGATCTCACAGACAATTGTCACATTTTTATCTAGAGAGAACTATTTTTATCTAGAGAGAACTGCCCGTAAGACAGTCTTGAGTGGTGGTGTAATGAAGCCCGATAATCAAATCTCACTTAGCTTTACTGGAGCATGAGAAAATAAAATGTGGTACCAGTCAGAAGATTATCATCATCACACAAGTGAAAGATAATGAGCGCATGAAAGCCAAAACCACTAGGGATACAGAATCCATGAAAAACTGTTAAAGGATAAACTATGTCATCAATACAGAGATGTTCAAGTTGGCTTCATTTTTACCGATGAAAAGTTATTATTTTTGAATTGAGGAAAGCTAGAAAATCAGCACATACTAGGGGTCAATTTTCCTTCAGTTGAGCAGTACAGGTCTGTTAGAAATTAGACAGACAGGTTACAATATTTTTAAATATGCAAGTCTGCGCCTCAAGGATAAGACAGCAGCAATTGATGTCTCTCTTATTCTATATTTCTGCATGTACTGCTCTTAGGATAATCTTATCGAAGAGGAGTATGCTGCAGGTATTGCATGAGATTTCTGTCCTCAGTTAATTACTCATAAAGGAAATATTGATATTTTTCCAACATAATTTAACATCCCATATAGCCTATGGTATATTGAAAGATTAATAAAATGAAAAAATGAGTTTGTTGGTTCAAAAGCATTATAGTAACTTCATAGAAAATTCCCATGCTTGTGAAATGTTGATTGCCCAATTCTATACTTAAATACAAACCTCAGATATCCCTGTGTGTGTGGAACTCAGAAGACAGCATGCAGAAGTCCATTTTTTCCTTCTACCATGTGGGTTCAGGGATAGTACGTGAGTCCTTGGGCTCGGCAGGGACCACATTTACCCACAGAACATCTTACCAGTTTGCAGTGTAACTTTGTGTGTATGAGTATTTTGCCTGCATATATGCTGCTGCAGCAAGCATGGGCCAAGAGCTCATAAAGACAGAAGAGACAACAGATTCTCTGAAACTGGGAATCAAGCCCTGTTCCTCTGCAAGAGAAGCCAGTTCTCTTAACTACTGAGTTGTCTCAGTAGTCTTCAAAGCATAGTATTTTGATGGGAGAGAAATTCAAGATCTCTAGATATTAATAAAAAACTAGAAGCTTCTTGTTCTATTGGTTCTTACAGTTTTTCCTCCTCCTTTTCTACAATGATCCAAGAGCCTCGGGTACAGGAGTTGTGCTGTAATATATTAGTTGGGACTAGGTTTTTTAACGTAGCGGTGTGTTTGGGTCAACAATTGACTAAAAAGAGGCCATCAATTTGGAAGGCGGTATATGGGAGCATTTGGAGGGGAAAAGAAAAGGAGGAATAATATATATATACCCTCAAAAATGAATGCTATCTTAAAAATATTGAAAATCTTCACAAGTTTAGCACTTAAATAGCAAGTAGTGCTTAAGAACATTGGTGTGCAATTGATATGTGTGTATGTATTTTTATTTATATGTAATAATTGTGTAAATAAATATGATTATTGTATTTAATATAGAGGATCCACGGAAAATAAATATTAGCTTAGCCTATCCTTCTCCACTTCATCCTAATATTTACTTGTGTAGGTGTGCAAGCTTATGTATAGAAAAAAAGGCTGCATTCTCTTATTTTCCAAGAGAAAAAAAAAGCCAAAAAATATTGTCAAGGAGAATTGCCTATCAAATAACATGAAAAGTGTTAGTTACTTAGAGTAGGATGATATATTTAATTTAGTGTCAGGGATAAAATCAAATCTGGATTTAGCAAATGAATTATAGGCTATAATATGCCTTTGTTCAGGAAAATTTATTTTTGAAAAATATATTAAAATATACATTTGGATTTTCCATGGTTTCCACCTCTTTCTCCAGCTTCCTAATAATTGGCTGGGTCTTCCAACAGTGTGCTGTTTATTTCATCTGCACCTGTGATCTGTTCGTGGTGTTGCAGTCACACTGGGAAGAAAGCAGGGTCTCTTAAAGTGATTATGGAGTAACAGGGGATCTTTAGCAGGTTAAGGCAATTACTTAGTTTTCCTACTTGTGACAGATTTTCTTTGTCTCAAAACATAACCCTCCATGCAAAGGGGAAGCACATGTTTATTTGTTTTCCAGCTAGAGCAAGTGACTCATTTTTCCCACCCTTCCTCCTAACCACCAGACAGGCGCACACCCAATCCCTACCATCCTTCCTTCAGAGACCCAGGCGGCACACCAATTACTATTTTTCAACTACTTACAGTTTACAGTATCAGAGCATTTCCACTATACATTGTTTGAAAGCCTTGATTATTTGTGATAGCTCTCTATTTAGAGAACCAGAACAAAACACACACACAAAAGAGAATTTCCAAGGACGAGCAATTGACATTTCCTCAGCCATATTTATTGTTGCTCTTTTCATAACAGGCAGAAACTGGAAACAGCTTAAATGTCCCTCAACTGAAGAATGTATAAAGAAAATATGATGCATTTATGAAATAGAGTATTAACCAGCAATTAAAAAAACGAAACAATAAAATCTGCAGGTAATTGGATGGACTAGAAATGAATCATCATGAGTGAGATATCTCAGGCACAGAAAGACAAATATGATATATATTTGCTCATATGTGGATATTAGCTTTGGAGTCAATGATAAATAGACTATAATCTATAGAACCACAGAGGTTTGGTATAGAGTAAGAGACTGGGTTGGGCAAATAATTCTTCATGAGTAACAGAATAGTAAAGGATGGCTGGTAGAGAGGCTAGAACTGAAGGGTCAAGTGTGTATGAGGAAAGGAGAGGTGGACAAGGGAACACAGATAGAGACAATTAAAATTAAGAGTCATTTAGAAGGCAAAATGGAAACCTAATACAGTAGAAGTGTACTAAAGTGTACACATATATGAAAGTAATCTAAATAAAGTCACCAAGCAATAGGGAAGACAGAGCCCCAACTAGCCATATATTGTTATCAAATGAAACTTCTAGAACCTGGATTAGGTTACATCTAATTGAGCCAAAGGAGTCCCATAAGAATCCCTAAACAATCTAAACTGTTGCCAAGACTATAGGTTTCTCTCCACAAGCTGATGGCAAGGCCCTATTGCTGAAGACAATACCTACACAGCCCATGGAACATGGAAAGTCACACTGGTGCCTACCCAGCCTTCACCCACACTTTCTTGAATTTTGATAGACGAAAGTACTCTGTGAGCTACCAAATCAGCCACAAACCCTTTGATCTGTAATGGTGTCCTGCCTGCAAGATATGCTGGGGCAATGGTAGAATAAAAACTGAGGGAGCAACCAACCAATATCTGCTTTGACTTAAGGCTCACTCCACAGGATAGAACCCATACCTGACATTGCTTGGATGACAAAAACCTAAGAATGAGCTCAGGGACCTAGGGAAAAAGCAAATACTAGTCTTAAAAAAAACTACTGGAGAAGTAGCAATTGAATGACTTGATGATAATCTGCTCTACTCAGACCTCTGGGCCCTGGTCAACCATCATCAGAGAAGCTTGCTCCTGCAACAAATGGAAACGAATGCAGAGACCCGCAGCCCTATACTAAGCAGTGACTGAGAGAACTTGGAATATTCAACCCTAAACAAATCACTCCCCTCACCTTCAGGGATTCCTGGAGAAGAAGAGACAGGACAAATGTAAGAGTCAGAGGGGATTCAGGGCACCAAGAAAGCAAAACCCTCTATTTTACCATGATCAAAACTCACAGAGGCAGAGGCGGCACGGACAGTTCCTGCGCAGGTCTATACCAGGTCCTCTGTATACATGTTATAGCTTCTATTTAGAGATTTTAATGTGATTCCTGAGTGTGCCAATGAGGGGGGTTTCTTTTTCTTGTGCCTTCTCTTGGAATACTTATCTTATGTTTGTTTTGTTTTGTGCAATTCTGCTGTGTTAATTTTTATCTTTATATTATGTTATACTTATTCCTTAGAAATATCTTTTCCAATGAAAGAGAAAGGAGGTAGATCCAGATGGGAGGAACTGGGAGGAGTAGAGGGAGCAGAAACTGTAATCAGGGTATATTATGTGAGGTAAAAAAAATCTATTAAAATCTTTTAATTAAAAGAATAAGATAAATAATAAAAATTAAAATTCTACCAATTATCTCATAGTCCCAGAGATTTCTAGTAAAGAATATCAATAAGTGTTCAATGGAAATTTGTTGTTTCTGTTCTGGTCTGCTATAGGTACTTGCCTGTATGAGTGATGCTTAGAATTTAAAAGACGAATAGATGAACAAGTGTTTAAATGAAAATGATAATGTAAACAAAGAAAAAAAGCAAAAAAGAGAGGGGGGGTGTAAATTACAATGAATGTGAAGGAAGATTTAAAATTCAGTATTGAATCTTCTCTAAGTTAGATTGTCAAACAATTTTTTTTCCTTCTCATTTACAGTAGCAATGACAGAGATTGGTGACAAACAATGCTCTTCATCCTTACTCACCGGTTTATGACAGGGCTGAATGTGAGCTCCTGGGTCTAAAAGGGTAGGTGTGAAAGCTACTTGCTTCCAAATAGGTCAGTAACATGTGATCCAGCACAGCTCATAGTCCTGTAACTTCTTGAAACTGGAAGAGGATATGTAACAAGATGCTATGAGAGTCTGCTAAGGGTTCTCAAGATTAATTTAGGCATGAAATAGGGGTAAACACTCAGTGATGTAGAAGGATTTAGATGCTGCTGCTAATCCAGCTGCCTTTGTCCAGTAATTCTGTCCATTGAGTGAAGAACAAGCCTCCTTCTCTGCTCTGACCACCCAAGAGAGTACTGAAGCAAGAGAGTATGAATAACATAAAACTATATACAATAAGAACAGCTATCAAGCATTGTATAGAAGAAAGAAAAGATAATAGCATAAGCAAAAATGAAGCTACAACCAACAAGAATAACATCAAGCAAAAAAAAACATCCTAAATATCCAGGCCGTAGGTAATTGGAAAATAACAGAGATTATTCCAATAGTTGCCCCATATACTAAAGATTTTAAGTCTTGTACCTAATATGCCCTTACTATGATATGAAAGGATTATAACCGTGACTATCTAATCTTCAACCCCATCAAAGACCTGAGAAGGAAAATATTACCTGAGTAAGCAGAAATTGCAATCAAATGACTTTCCAATTTGCAAGAAATGACAGAAACAGTTTGCTGCCTGGAGAGTCAAAGTCTCCCTAAAACATTGACGCAATCAACTTTGGCTATAGGCCTAGATTATCTGACAGACCATTTATAAAAGTAGGAGAATTTGAAGTACTGCCCTTCCCTGTCTTGGCAAGGTTCAACAGTCACTTTTCTTGTATCCTGCTTGTTCAGATTGGACAGTATACTTACTGTCAGCATTCAATACAAGGGCAGTTCTTTGCCTAATAGTCCAGTTTGGCCAAAAAGAAAACAAGTTACATATGGAGTGACTTTGGTACCCATCATTATCTCATGAGTAGATCAAAGCTGCCATTGATGGAGTGGTCATGTCACATGTCGACAGAATTCTAAGTTATTAACATATTTAAATGTTATATTTTATAGGTCTTTGAAATGTTTAAAAATCACCTAGCTATATGGAATACACTGTTACGCATTGAGAAAAATCTAAACTAATACAATTATGAATATAAGAAACATGAGTGACTATAAACCTGCAGTTCTTAGTAGCCTATATAACTCAAAGACTAAAGTTTCATATTACAAAAATAAACCATCTTTAAGCAAATATACAGCATGAGGGCAACAACCTTGAAATTATTACAATATACAAAAATACCTTAATCAGAGGTAAAAATTTATAAAAGCAATATGACAAAAATATCCTTAATTTTTATCAATATACAAAATACCATTAACAGAAGTAAAAACATATATACAATATGGCAAAATAATTTTATATTTGTATCAATATACAAAAATTATGCAAACAGAATAGGAACATATACATATAACAGATGTAATTTTGAATTTGTATCAATATACATAAGATCTTAGACAGGAATACAAAAATAATTTTAGCACATGTAATTTTGAATTTGTATGAATATACATATGATCCTAGACAGGAATACAAAAATAATTTTACATATTCATCCATATAAAATAATCTATACCAAAGTAAATTATCTAAAACTTATAGTTGCTAAAATAGTTTACAAGTAGATACACTTATCTACCTTACTATCCTATTCTCTCTATTTCCTCTGTTAAGAGTTCTGGATCTTAGATAAAATGTTTTAGATCTGATGACTGGTAGTTAAAAAGTCAGTGTGCTGGTTAATATTTTGTCACAATGATCATCTGGGAAGAAGGAATCTCAAGTGAGAAAATGTGACTCTCATATTGGCCTGTAAGTTAAGTCTATAGGATATTTTCTTGATTAATGAATGACTGACATGAAAAGGCCTACCCTACTATAAGTAGTGTCATCCCAAAACAGGTGCCTTGGGTTGTATGAAAATGATAAGTAACCCATGAGGAGCAAGCCAGTAAGCAATATCCTTTCATGGTCTCTGCTTCAGTTTCTAACTCCAGGTTCCTGCCTTGAGTTCCTTTCCTGAATTCCCTCAATAATGAAGTATAATGCAATATGAAATAAATCCTTTTCTCCCCAGGTTTATTGTGGTCACACCATTTTATCAAAGCAGTCGAAAGTGAACTGTGACTGTAAGATTTTATGTCTTACATTATGCACCAATCTGTACATTACTTTGTATATTTTTCAGTGCCCAAATTTCATAGACTTCAAACAAGGAACTGTGATCTTTTTATTTCCATCTTAAAAATAGGAAAGGTTGTAAAGGGTGAGGAAAAGAAAACCAAATAAACAAGCACTAATTCCTCTAAAATAATATGCATATGTCTAGAGAAAACCCTGTTTTCTATTCATTTCACCATCGTGGTTATTTTTGACAACTTTCCATAACTACACCCAATACCTAGCTAATTAACTCATGAAGAGAAACAGCTCATTTTGTTCATAGGTTTGGGTATTCCTCAGTATGGTAGGCATGTCTTAGGGCTTTTAAGCCTATAGTGAAGCTGCTTGTCAGTGGAAGAGGTGGAGCAAAAACTGCTTAAATAAATAAGAAGGTAAATGAGTAAAGATATGTCAGGTGGTGATGGCACACACCATTAATCCCAGCACTGAGGAGGCAGAGGCTGGCGGAGCTCTGTAAGTTTGAGGCCAGCCTGGTCCACAGGGTGCGTTCCAGGACAGCCAGGACTACATAGAGAAACTCTGTCCTGAAAAACAAATATAGAAAAAGAAAGAAAACAAGTAAGAGTAGACCAGGATCCCATGGGCCATCAGTAATATGTCTCCAATAACCAAAATATCTGTACTAGACCCTGCCTTTCACATGACCCACCACATCCCACTGACATCTCTCAGAAGATGTCAGCCTTTACCACACGAATGTTTCATTGTAACTTATGATCTTAACTATACTAATACTAAGTTGGAATTCATCTATGATTAGGCACACAACACACTTAAATGTTTGAATAACTTCTTGGACAGATAAGTTATTGTGTCTACATATTTTTTAAAAAGTAAAAGGTCTCACCAATACTTATAGGATGTAGGATCCTCATTTGTTCATCCATTTGGGACATGGTGGATGTGCACGTGTGTGTGCGTGTGTGTGTGTGTGTGTGTGTGTGTGTGTGCTGTCTTTGTGTCCCTTGGTCCATTTTTTTTGGCAGATGAAGGGTCAAAATTATATTTTGATTTTTCTTTGATTTCCAGTTTCAGCTTCTACTCTCTCAAGCTTCTTAAACTCCAATTCTACAAATGAGAAATGGATGACAATCTGACAAGGATGTGCCTGTCTCTTTAAAATGTGTCCTTTCTATCAGGGTCTTAGTGTAGGACCACAATTACACATGAGTAAAAAACCATCCTACCTCAGAAATAGTTACATACCCTGGGCCTTTTCCACTCACCCCTTGTTGACAGAAACTGAAACAACCACCCACTCTGTTTAATAAAAGCATGGATGTCTTTGTAGTAACGTTTATATTCCCTAAGCCAATGAAGAACAGAATGCTCTTGAATGCATTTCCCTAGCATACATAGAAATCCATCTGTTTGCTGCCAATACTGTCCATACATGGGTGTAGATATTATCACAGCCTTCTATCTGCTTTCTTGGGAGCTTCTCTATGGTCTTAGATCTTTACTCACACTCCAGCGGAATGATCATTTCAAAATTCAGGGTAATTTTAAAATGCTGCTTATTTATGCTGTCCCCACATCTGTTCCCCAGAAGTACTATTGACATATACCCTGGCATCTAGTTTCATGGTTTTGTCATTTTAAATAGAATATAATTCTTGATACTTGCTTTAAAAAAAAAAAAAGGAAGAGAGTCATGTGACACATTAGGTAAATCTCTATTTTAACTTCTGTCTTTTGCCAATCCCTGGCCAGGCATATAAACTAACACACACACACACACACACACACACACACACACACACACACAAACACATGGTACTTGCTTCAAGCCGATCACCTCAATCCAGGCTCCAGAACTCAAGAAGTGGAAAGAGACAACTGACTCCCTCAAGTTGTCTTCTGACCTCCACGCATAAATTCCTGCATATGTGAATATGTTGTGCATACACACAGGTACATACATACAAACAATAAAGGAATTAATTGATGTAAAAAGATAACCATTGTCATATTAGGAATAACTAAGAATAAGAAATTTATTGAAACATTTTAATAATAGAATATTTTTTATACATCATTTATCTTAACATGAGAACAATCAACATTTTGATTTTATTTTAAGTAGCTATTGCTTTAATTTTTAGAAGGTGGTAAATAGAACTACTATTTTTAATGTTGTTAGCAATTATATAAGACATTAAAAATCTATCTAGGAGTGACCATCACCTGTCTCTGTCTTTTATATTTCTATATTGTATTTTGATAATATTCATTCACAGATACATTCCCATTCCATACAACGATGATTTTGTATCATTATTCTTTTCAAAACCTATGAAGTACCATTAGGGCTTCCTATCTAGTCTGGAGTCTGTGACAATCCACTGGAATACAATAAAATTATCAGGGGTCACATCCTTGAGAAGCAAGATCTCCCTCTCCCAGAAACTGTCAATTACCAATACTGTCTCAGCTAGGGGTAGGGCATTTTTCCCACCTCCCCATCCCATGCTTGGATTTTCATCTGGTTAGAGTTCACATGTGTATATTTCATGTTCACACAATAACTGTAAGTTTATATGTTCAACCTCCAAGTTGCACCCAGAAAACATTGTTTCTTTGTAAGCAGTAATTCACTACCTCTGGCTCTATGTTCTTTCCAACCCCACTTCTTAAATTATCTTTGAGATTTGAAAAGAGGTATGTGATGTATATGTCACAGTCAAGGCTGGTTGTGGGTCTCTGATTTAATTAGTATTTGTAACAAAAAGAAGCTTCTCTAATAAGTTTTGAGACATACACTTATATATGGTTATAAAAAATAAATTATTAGATATTGACTTAATACATGTCCCACTAGAAGATAATAGTAGTAAGTTCATCCCAAAGGACTATTACTCTGTCTAACCACAGTAATCTTGCTGAGTATGGATTGCATCTCTGAGTACAGTCCTTAATTCTAAGCTGAAACACTTTGTTACACCTATATTTGTGCTACTGTTGCATCGGTAGACATATCTTGCCAGGTGGTCATTGTTGTAGTTTGTAGTTCACAGATAGGTAAGGTTCATTATTACTTTTCTTCTAGGATAGCATACATTCTAGAACAGTGCAAACTAGACAAAAAGAATGAAATTTCCACATCAATACTTCTAAAATTCTTTAGTATTAATATTTTGTTTCCCTAAATATCTTAATTGGAACTATTTTATCAGTACACCCTTATAAGAAGAACAATTTTCAATCATATTTTGAAGTATATAAATACATATTTTTTCTATCATTGACTTTACTTACTTTTTGTGTGCTAGGACCTAGAATATAGTATGACTAAGTTAGGGGAGAAACTATAAAAATAAAATCTTTCTTCAGCCTCAATACTGTTCACTTACTTTTAAAGCTTCTCATTTTAGCCCTCAATTTCTTTATAAAACTGTCTCATTCTTTTGATAACACGCTACTCAAGTTATATAACAATGCCCTTATTGCCCCTACCATAGAATCAAGTATTCTAGTCATTTTCATGTCTTTGATCAACAGTTACTTTTGTGATGCACTTTCATCAGAAATAGTTACCATTAAAAATATCTCAACAGAAACCAAATATCTTTTCCTCTGCTCGTCATTTCATGTCTTTTACACATAATATATGATGACATATTCCATACACTGAAAAATTAGCTGAATAAAGGCAGAAAATATATTTTACTCCCTACCATCAGTGTTACCATAGTGCTTGGCATATAACTGCTGTTCAATATATATTTACTTTATTAACATGCATAAGGATAGCATTGTCATTTAGCCTGCTGCACCATTCACAACCTTCAGATCAGACCCTTCAGTCTTTCAGAAATGCTTTGATTACTGAACGCCTCACAGACCTATCAGGTTTCTCTTTTGTTTAAGTTGAATTAAATATGCTTTTCTGTAAAAACAAGTCATTAGCAGGGACTTTGAGAAACACCAGATACTAATTTATAGTTCTATCACCTACAGTATAATGCACACACTGGTTTTAGTGACCATACAAAATGTTTTATTCACATAGATTAATTGCATTCAAGTTTTACTATGATATTTTCATACCTGTAGGTAATATATTCCACACAAAAAGACTCTATATAGAGTAGTTGGACTAGCTGAGAAGACAAACAACAGGAATGGAACCTTTCACACTCCAAAATAGAGATTTGTGATGATTTTTATATAATTTGAGTCGAAGATCATGGCCAAGGATGCAACTTCACAGTATAAAGCCATTTCAGAAGCTCAGCTGTCGTGTCTGATTATCTTTAAGCTTACATCCATTTGCATGGGCCCTAGCTGAAAGCGGTGCCGCGTATAGTTTTCCAACTTCAAAATTGCTTTTGACTGTAAAGATTCTCTTCCCTTTTATCATCATAAACTACACACATTTTGTTAGGAAATCTAGTAGTATGAATAAATAGTCTTTGTAGAGCAAGACTGCCAGTTAATTCTCTCGAGTACATTCTGAGACAGCAGTATTAAGATACAAGAAAGTGTACCTTGGACCACTGTGAGCCCCTGGGTGGATGCCACAGTAGATAAATAAGTGACTAGAAATATAGGTCAGATGGCATATGTCTGTTCTTCTGGACACTACAAATACAAGGACCTAAGTGGCTGAACTTTAAATGTTAGGGGAATTGATGAAAGTTGATGGCTCCTCGATATTATGACCTTGACAGAGGTGTCTTTCTAGAACTGAAGCTATCTTTGGGGTGCTGAGACCTAAATATTGTCTTTTTTATCACATGTTTATATCATGTCTGAAATCCTTGACAAGATCTTCATGCCCACCATTAGCAATACTACATTTTCAAACTTGTCCTGTGCTTAAAAATGTAAATGATCACTGCCATTTGTTGAATATGATGACTGAATTATTAAATATATTGAAGATGTTTTCTCATTAAATGCTAAGAGAAATCAATGATCAGCCAAACTTTGGACATCCATATCAGATATTTCTGCAACTGGAAAGGTCAGATCAGAAGAATAGGATCTGAATCTAGAGAGTCTGACTATGAATCTAGAACATTTTTTAAATTTTATTTTAAAAATAAAACAATATTTTCTCATTTTATAAGCCAAATCCATGTCCCATTCCCTCCCCACCTTCTGCTTCCTCCACCTTCCCCCATCATATGAATAGAGAACCTTTGAACCCTGCTTGCTGCACCTTCCCACCAAAGAGAAAGTAAAGCAGAATGGAGGACAATAAATCATCTCTAGTGTCCCAACTTCAGTTTTTATTCAGCATAAATGTTTTCACTTAGGATTTGGTGAGCTGAGCTACATTTTCCTGACAAAGGAAAATTTTTTTCCATTTATTCTTTAGGATACTAGAGAGTGACCCTTACAATGATAAATGTTCGATGTCAAAAGATAAGATAAATGCAAATACATACATGAGAATGAGACCTCTGGTAAAATAAAACAAAAAGCAAGTGATTCAACATCTCTATCTAAAAATACTACTTGTACAATCAAGGAGCTGAAGAAGTTGAGTTATGGACCACACTTGAAATATCTTTTAAATTTGCACTTCATTACGTGACTCCAAGGAGAAAGGATATGTGGTGCCAAAAAGTATATAGCAATAAAACTGAATTTTAAAAACTGAAATCTCAGTGGAATGTCAAATGTTAATCAAATAAAACATATTTTCATGGATTTTGCAGACATAGAGGAATGCCTTATAAATTTGAAAATATGCTAGGCAGGTATTTCTTTAGAGAATACTGTGTAAAAACCTCCAGCAAACACTTTTATTATATATAGTAGGAACCACTTTCTAATAATATAGAAAAGAAGACATATAAACATCGAGAAGAACTGGTTTGTTGACTCTACTCCCAAAGGATTTGATCGATTCACCAAGACTAATACTACTGAAAGCAAAAAGAGACAAGGATAGATACTGGGCATTGGAGAAAAAGAGAACACAATGTTCTATTGGTTCCTTTGTGTTTCTGAATTCCTAAAGCAAATGATAGTAAGTAAATTATTAAGCATATTTTTGAAAGATAGAAAAATTAACAAATTAATGGAATCACAACTATTTCATAACAGTGAAACACATTTAATTTATTTTAGGGACTCCAAACTTTGAGTTTTATTGAGAGAACCTATCTCAAAAAAATATGGTGGTAACCTGATCAAGAAAAATACATAATATCAACCTCGACTCCCCCACATACATGCCTGTAGATAGCTACACAGGTGTACACACATACCCACACATCCATACTCACATGCATGGACACTACATACACAAAAAATAA